CTTGGCTATTGTAAATAATGCTGCAATGAACATGGGGTGCATTTTTAAAATTAGTGCTTTTGCTTTCTTCAGATAAATACCCAGAAGTGAAATTACTGAATCATATGGAGGTTCTGTATTTAATTTTTAAGGAACAACCATACTGTTTTCCATAGTGGTTGCACAACAGTGCACAAGAGATCCCTTATCTCCACAACCTCACCAACATTTGTTATTTCTTGTTTTTTGTTTTTAAAGAATTCTAACCATGCTAAGAAGTGTGAATTGATCTCTCACTGTGGTTTGGATTTGCATTCCCCAGATCTTTAACAATGTTGAGCATGTTTTCATGTATCTGGTGGCTATCTGTATGTCTTCTCTGGAAAAATATCTATTCAGATTTACTGCTCATTTTTAATCAGGTTATTTGTTTTATTTCCATTATTCTTTGATAAATGTTTATTCACCACCAGACTGTAAGCTCAATGTGTATCTGATTTTGTTAAACATCAGATCCTCAGTTATTTAGCCAAATGTCTGGATCTCATATGGGAATAGATTTTGAAGATAAGTAATTCTGGGATAAATATTAAACTCCAAACAGTAATGTAGAAAAAAACATTCATTTTGCCAGATGGACATGTTCAATATCCAACAACTTACAATGACACCCTTTTAAATTTTCTTTAGTCTGTGCTTTTCTAGCAGCTAATTTTGTACCTGAGCAAGCCAAAGGACTTAATATTAGCTGACCACACAGTTCTCCAGGCCAGGGGAAAAAAGCCTACATCTCTAATTCTGTCTATGTATTGTATTGTTTGACCCTTATATAAGAGACAGAGTACTTATTTATATAACTCTTGCTTAGCAGTTCTTTCATGTGCTTAGGCCTTATCTCCCCAACTAGACAAGATGGGGTAGGTCATCAAGGACTTTGTATTTAACAGTGTCTTTCCAAGTGTTATTTTTTGTTAAAGTATCCTCCAAATCTTCCATCATCACCATCATAGATCACTAGTTTCTAAATCTAATGCACTGTTGTTTTGATAGTTTAATGTAAATAGTAGAGTAAAAATTTAATTGGATAATTTGGATACAATTATCAGTTTTTTATTGATAGGTTCAAGTGTTAAGATTAAGAGTGATGACAATTGAGAATATGATTTATGACAGTCCCTTAATGAGTTTTCTTCAATTGCGTATATATTTAAAGAGGTCACAGCTATAGTCCACAGTTTCATACTAGAGATAACTATCTGCTATAGATACATAGTTCTCATTTTCCTAATCCTTGTGTAAAGTTAATGTACATAAAAGATGTAGCATTTATAATGAAGAGTAACTGCACAATACAAGTCAACTTTACTGATTTTATTCCAAGAAACTGTAGGACTTCTAAGCAAATTTGGGAACTCCATGTTTTTAAAGAAATCTACAAATTATTTTAGAAAAAAGTTAAGTGATCAATGCCTTAAACCTATATATGACAACTGAATACCTACTCATTTATTAAAGGATCTTCAATCCTTATTTTTGAACTATATAACCAAATGATTAAATTAAACTGGCACTTGTTGTTCAGGATGAAAAACAGACTATAGTGATCAAGTATAAAAAAAAACTAATCATACTGTACACTCACCTTAAACTTATATAGTAATGTATGTCAGTTTTTTCTCAATAAAACTAGAAAAACATACAAGAAAAACTAAAAAAAAAAAAAAAAAAAAAAAACCCACAAAATTCTAAATTTCCCTCGACTGCATCTCACCAAATGCAGACTGTTTTACATAAAATAATTTGAGAAAAATATTAACACTAAGATTCAGAGTGAGGGGGTATTTAATATGACAAGAAGTCTATTGAGTAAAAAATATGCCAATTTTACCTATAGTTTTAAAGATGCAAAGAACATTTTATACAGAATTCAAGTATTATGTACTACTAACAAAAATATTATTTCAGCCAGAGTCCACTAATATTTACCTAAAATCACATCCTCCTATGTCATCTCAGACATAGATGACAAATATTTTTGATAGAAATAGGAGAGAAAAAAGGACTTGTATGCATGCATATAAGCATTACCAATGGACACGGAGTCTAGGGAGGTAAGGGCATGTGCTGGAGGATGGAAGTGACCAGAAAGAGGTTAATGAAGGAAAACATATATATATATATATATATATTGTAATAGCTGTGTATGGGCTGGGGTGGGGGGGAGAAGGGGCGCGCGGGGAACGTTCCTTGAAATATTAGGGGGACCACTCTGTAAAGTATATGATTGTCTAACCACTATGTTGTGTACCTGAAACTAATTCTGAATAATACTGAATATGAACTATAATGGAAAAATTGTATATTATGTTTTTCATCATTATCATAAAAAAATAAAATAAATAAAAAGCATAGCTCATACAGTAATTTGTAATCTCCTAAATTAGCTTGTATTCATTTCTTAATCTCTTAATAACCATATCTTGGAATAATGTTTTTTAAGCTTCTATTTGAACACTTTCAAGTGATGGGGAGCTCCCCATGTTGTAGGATGCCCTATTGTGGCTTGTCTTTTCAAGCCAATTCCTGGTATGGGACAAAGATAAATAGAGAGAAAGGGCCATAAAAGATCAGTTTTCTATAATTCAATCCTATAAGTCAAAACAAAATCCTATGTATGCCACAATATAAGCTCTTTCATTGAAGAATTAACACAGAAAACTATCTTCAGTATGGCAGAGTAGACATTTGGTGTTTCTGTCACCCAGCATCTTTTGTTCCTTATTCTCACTTTACAGGGGCGTGGGGGAAACCACAACCATCTTCCACCCCATCAGCAATGTGTTCTGAAGAAGCAGATAACATACTGCATGACTACGAAACTGTGGTTGGTCAGGATTGGGAAAATGACTGATGATGATCAGCACAAATCCTATTAATCCTATCACATCTAGAAAGTTCCAACAAGAGTAAGATGAAATTGTTGCAAACACCTTAACACCAAAAAAAAAGAGAACCTAACTAAAAACGAAGCCAACCTAAAACACGAACCAAGAAATGGAGAAGGGGGGTCTGGGTCCTCATGACATTGTTTAAGTGCCTACTTCAAACCATACTTAAGCGAGATTTGCTTTTTTTTTTTTTTTTTTTTAGCCAGTTTGGGTTTTTTCTTTCCCTTTCATCTCAAAGAGTACTATCCAACACATATGGTAATTGCCAAATCCGTTAACAAAAATCTGTCAACTTCTCAGCACATATCTGTTGTCAATGCTTTTTATGTAATTTGGTTATATCAATAACCAACTATAGGTACTAAATTTAAAAAAGGAATCTGACACATTTTAACATAGCACTTCCCTTCAACATTGCCTTACACTGTCTTGTTTCTAAACAAAAACAGAAAGCACAAGAAAATGACTACAACTTTACTATCTACTAGAGGCCCAATGCACAAAATTCCTGCATGGGGGCAGCGGAGGGGTCTAATCAGCCTGGCCTGAGCCCACTCACATTCCAGGACCCTTCAGGGGATATCTGACTACCGGCCTAGGCCCACTCTCCACTCCCACCACTGCCACTTCGCTGGCCAGCCATGAATCCAGCTTCTGGCTCCTGGCGGACAGTGTGCATCAAAGTGATTGGTTGTTCTGGTCATTCCACCATAAAGGTCATTTAGGCTCTTATTATATAGACTAGAGGCCTGGTGCACGAAATTCGGCAGGGGGTCCCCTCAGCCCAGCCTGCATTCTCTCTAATCCAGGACCGCTCAGGGGATGTCCGACTGCTGGTTTAGGCCCAATCCCAGGGATCAAGTCTAAACTGACAGTCAGACATCCCTCTCACAATCCTGGACTGCTGGCTCCTAACTGCACACCTGCCTGCCTGCCTGCCTGCCTGATTGCCCCTACTTGCACCCACTGCCAGCCTGATCACCCTTAACTGCCTCTGCCTGCCGACCTGAAGGCTCCTAACTGCTCCCCCCGCCAGCCTGGTTGCCCCTTACTGGCCCCCCTGCCTGCCTGATGGTCCACAAATGCCCCCCTCACTGGCCTGGTCTCCCCCAACTGCCCCCCCCCCCCCACTGGCCTGGTTGCCCCACGCAGCGTGCTGTTCAGTCATTTGGTCATCCCTCACTAACCCCACTGCCGGCCTGGTCGCCCCACACAGCCCATGTTCAGTCATCCGTCCGGTTGTTTCGGTTGTGATGGCCCCTGGCTTTTTATATAGTGAAATTATACATAAAAGGCTAAGTGACCCACCATTCATCTGTTCGACCATCCATTCAACCAACCAGCCGGTATATATGACATGCACTGATATTTAAAAATAAACATTGACTCGCCCATGCGCAGTATTTGTCCCTGTCTGACACTGGCCTCCCATTTAAATTAATTCAAAGACAGTTTCCCATGATGCCAACATTTGTTTTTACTATTAATAAATCACAAGGACAAACTCTAGACAGAGTAGGAATATTCCTACCTGAACCTGTTTTTGGACATGATCAGTTATATGTTGCTTTCTCTTGACGTCAAAGTTGTAAAAACTTCATCACAAGGAAAATTAGTCAAGCACTCTAAAAGTGTTTTCACTCTTAATTTGGTATACAGGAAGACATTAGAATGAGTTTAATCAATTTACCAGACATTGTTTTTATCAATCTTCTTATATCATATTTTTGTTTATTTTTTATCATGTTTTTGTTTTTTATGTCTTTATTGTTGCTATGTTGTTATTGTTTATTAATCAATTTATACATTATTTTCATATACATTTTACTAATTTTCTTTACTCTCTGACACTATAGAAAAATGGCAAATAGTAATATTAAAATATTTCTTCTACTTAATTTCCTTTCAATGTGTATGAATCCATGTACTGGACCACTAGTATATTATAACACTGTAAATGCAAGAATAAGTGACTCAGAAATGAAAAGTTTTCATTACATCATATCACAGTTATTTGAGAAAACAGCAAACAAAAACTAATGTACTATCCACAAGCCATATATAGGTTCTTACTTGAAGCTGAAGAGTATGCCGAAGAATTGTTTCTTCTAAGGCATGGATCCACTTCTCTCGCTCATCAGCATCACGAGCTAGAATAAAAGTTACAAAAATTAAAATATTAACTTCTACAGTATAGCTCTGTAATATTGAAAGTAAAATCTTAAACCATGATGCTAATAAGAGGCTATTAGTTGTGCATTTCCTTACTAGAATTACCCTTCTATCCTTTCTAAATATGCAATCTACTCATTGCAATTTCAAACTATGTTCAGTAATAGCCAACCTTACCTTTCCACTGAGAACTAGAAAAGCTGGAATAATTATTTAAAAACAACTGGCTGAAGCTATCAGAAAAAAATTGTAGTAAAGAATTAACAGAGCAAGATCTAGGAGAAGACAAACATCCAGAAGATAAGCCTGGTATTTAGGGCTACTATTCTAGCAGAACTGTAAATTCCAGGAGAGGAATTGTGACTAAGCAATTACTCAAAAGCCTTGCCAGTATGTGTGTAGGCGGTATATAAGAACCCCTATGTACTTTCTATTCAATTTTCCTGTGAACCTAAAACGGCTCTAAAAATAAAATCTATTTAAAAATAAAAATACAGAGGGGACAAATGGTGATGGACAGAGAGTTGACTTGGGGGGTGGACACACAATTTAGTATCCAGATGACGTGTAATGGAATTGTGCACCTGAAACCTGTATAATTTTGTTAACCAAGGTCACCCCAATAAACTCAATAAAAAGTAAAAATAAATAAAAGAGACCCCAGAGAGCTTTCTCACCCCTCTACCACGAGTGGATTCAATGAGAAGATGCCCATCTACCAGGAAACACATCCTCACTCAACACTAAATCTGCTGGCACTTTGATCTTGGACTTCCTATCCTCTAGAACTGGGAGAAATTTCTGTTTTCTATACACTAAAAACAAACAGCCTTGTAAGGCCAAAAGTTGGAGAACGTGGCCCACCAACTTTGAGGACTTGCATGTTTTGATTGGGACCTCAAAGGGTTGCACCTTGAGATTAAGAATAAAGCAGGCCGGGTGGCTCAGCTAATTAGAGCATCTCCAGTGCACTGGAAGGCTGCGGGTTTGATTCCTGGTCAAGGGCTCATACCAGGGTTGTGGGTTAGATTCCTGGCCGGCATATGCTGGAGGCAACCAATTGATGACATGTTGATATTTCTCTCCTCATTCCCTCCCTCCCTTTCTTTCTTCCTTTCAGTGTATATCTGCATGAAATTGTAATTTCTTTATATACTTTAACCAAAACAAAATAGCACAAAAGTCTGAATGCAGAATCCAGCTATCTTCCATTAAGCCAAACATTTAAAAAGTTAAAAAAATGTTAAAAGATGTCATTCTTCTGAGGGTTTTTTTGTGTGTGTTTACTTGCTTGCTTATTTAGGAAAATGACTACTTCCTCATAAGATGTTACTAGTATAATTAGTTTGTTATTGACATATTAAGTCAGGACTGGGGAAACTTTTTTTTCTGCCAAGGGCCATTTGGATATTTATAACATATTTCAATTAATATTATTCACTTAATACAAGTGTACATTGCTATGAAAAAACTCCTAAATTTATTGAATTTTGAGTCCACCTGCAGTTGCCTAGGCAGGGCCAGACCAAATGATTTCACAGGCCTTATACGTCCCAGACATTCCCACCCTGGTTTTAAGTCAATAAATAAATAATTTTTTAATCCCTCAGTTTTCATTTTTAACCTGATAAATACCAGATTTAACTCATTAAACAAAAGCTCTTTGGAGTCCTCAATAAATTTGGAAAGGGGTCCTGAGACTAAAAAGTTTGAGAACCACTATTATATATTATATGTGACATCTTATTTGATTACTTATTGATTTCCTCTTCTACCAGAATGAAAGCTTCTAGAAGTCAGAAGTTTGTTGACTTATTCGTTGTTGTATCTCTAGAACTTGGCAAAGCACCTTGCATGTTTTATAGGTAGTCATTATATATTTGAGAGGGGGTACATGATGGGTAGCTAAAAGGATGCTGAATAAAAACCTTCCATTTAGATAATTAAGTGATTGGAAGTGCCGCTGATTATAATTTGTAACCAGTTTGGACAGGATGATCAGAGGGTGTTTTTGTTCTTTTTAATCCTCACCTGACATGCTTTTATTAATTTTAGAGACAGAAAACCATTGATGTGAGAGCAAAACATCCATCAGTTGCCTCTTACATATGCCCCAACTGGGGATCAAACCTGCAACCTTCTGGTGTACTGGATGATGCTCCAACCAACTGAGCCACTCCAGCCATGGCAGACGGTATTTTTTAAAGAAGGTAATAAAGAGGTGTGGAGAGAAAAATGCCAATTCATATGAGTCTAAATCTAAAATAATATCAACCAATGTTTTGATGTTTAAAAGATTTAAGAGCCATAGTTTAAATAGACTGCTTATTGTAATTAGAAAAGTAATGACATCAGATTAGAGAATGATCTATGCACTTTATTATACTATCAACACATCTATAACACTATAATGCTCATTATTTTTACTTTTTTTTCCCCTTCCATGGCTCAGCTGCATATTCCCTGAGGTTGGGATGGAATCTGATGCATAATTTCTTAATATGCTTGGCATATTCTTAGCAACTAACTGAAACTTGTAATTACCAGACAAATAATATTTTTGTCATCTTTTCAAATGATAAGAAATCTCCTGACCAGCATATACTAAAAACTGACCACCCAACCCCATCATATTCCCCATATTCATTTCTCCCCTGTACTTACCCTATACACACACACACACTTTTAAATTATAGTCTGCTGCCACTGGAATCTTTATTTGCTTTATTTATTGGTATATCCCAAGCTCCTAGAATCATGCCAGGCAAACAAGTGCTCAATAAATATTTATTGAATGAGAAATAATGATCCATTGATTTCATTATTTAGGTATGGTTCCATTTTTATATTTTGAATATATAAATAGGTTGGATTTCCTAAGAAATCATTATTTTTGCTTTTAGTATGAATTCAGTGGCATTTCCCCACTTAACACCTACTGAAATTATAACAGATATTTAGAGAATTAGTTGTAGTAATTATACTTCCCTTACATGAAGTCTAAATGGTTATTTATTTTGTTTTTACTTGAGAAGAAGTTATCACATAAAAATCAAAAATACGAAACTGCAGAAGGAAATTTTTTAAGTCAATAATCAATGTAAGATAATGGAATCTTTTTTACTAATGATAATGCTGAAATGGTTGTTTTTAAAGCAAAAGACACAAGCAGGCAACTATGGGTTAGTCTAGGTACTGCCTATTCTTCTAAATGATTAATGATGCAGATGTGCCACGCAGAGCTGATTCATGTTAATGCAGTAGGGCAATGCTGCCCTATATATTTGATCAATATAACCTTTCTGAATTAAATACTTCCCTTCAGCACTGGGCTGATTTGTAGTAATTCTACATTTTAATAAATGAGCAAGCTCTAATGGACTGAGTTGAAAAGGTCAGCTATCAGACCAACCTGAGATGCCTTCCACTAAGACTTCTACAGTTTCTGGAGATTCTTTTAATTTAAACATTTTTTAATGCTTAAAATGTTTAATATTTTTAATGCAACTTGTATTGATTTATAAGTATATCAAATATATTTCCAAACATATTTCATACTTGAAATCATTTTGGGTAACACACTGCTTAAATGATGTCTTCAGTCAAGTCCTTTGAAAGTGAAGGTTTATTTTATGTAGAACTAATCACATACTTATCCTTATTTTCATCTTTAAAAAATTTAGATTTCTCACAACAGGTTTGCTTAAGGGCAAGACAACCTTTCTAGACAGGTTAAGACATAATAAGAGACAATCTCAGATCAAGGCCTGGTCACTTGACTCTCTGTGTCTCAATTCTGTCATATATAAATTGGGAGTAATTCCATCTAATATATAAGTTGTTAAGAGAATAAAGTGGAACAATATCTGTGTGAGATCACTGGATGTTGTAGACCAATGGTTCTACTATAATAAATACATCAGAAATACTAAAGAGGGCCCATTCCCAAAGTTTCTGAGTCAGCAAGTCTGGGTTAGAGATTCTTTCTAACAAGTTCCCAGGTGATGCTGATCTTACTGGTTTGGGACCACACTTCAAAGACTATGGATCTAGCCAGATCTGGGCAATAATCCACTAATCCTGGGTGCTTTGCTTCTCTGAACCTGCTTCTCTATTCTAAAACTAGAAATAAAACCACTTCATTGCTGTGGAGTTTAATCTGGAGATTTAACACATATATACTCAAACTTCCACTCACACACCAAAAATTTGGATTTCTGGCTTCACTTTAAAAACTTTACAATCTGGCAACATTGGACAAGCATTACCGAAAACCTAAACTGTCTAGAACTAAGTAGCAGCTGCCTTTTCAAACAGGGCATGGGCTCTCTAAATTGCTAGGGTCTTCATTCAGCTTTAAATCTTCTCATTTACTAGCCCTTAGCATACAAATGTTCAACTTCTGGTTCCCCTACCAGCAATATCCTGACAACCACAAATCTTCTCCAGCCCAGATTCAGATCCAATTGCCATCACCATCTACTGTACATTTGTGTGTCCCACAGACCCCTCAAACATAAGAGATTCCTGGATTTTCTATTTCAGATGTTGACAACATCCAAATAGTGAGTCAACACAAAATGGTCATCTTTACTACTCTCATTCTCTCACCTCCAATTTCCAATCAATCACGAGTCCCTATAGATTTATCTCCTAAAATTCTCAAGTCTATTTCCTTTTCTCCTGTTCCATTACCACTGCTTTCATCCATTCGGAGCCTCATTAACAATTACAGCTATTTATTACCTAAACCCTTGTCTTATTCTGTCTCTTTTCTGCTTAAAATCCTGCTTTATTGGCTTCTCACTGACCTCAGGATAAAAATATAACCTTTTTATATCAGTTACCTCTGCATATCGTTACAGCCTCACCCCTGCCCCCCCCAATGTTCTAATAGTACCAAACATTCACAGTTTGTGAACACTCTGGCAGGGTCATATTTTCATAACTCTGCACATGCTACAACCCCTTCCCCCCC